GGCGGCCACTTCTTCGGCAGAGAATTGATGGGATTGCTGATCAGAGAAGAATTGATCCATTAACATTTCAGCATGGGAAGGTTGCTGATCAGGAGAAACCTGCTGAACGGGCTGCACCTCCTGAGCGGGCTCAGGTTGCTCAGAAGATGGAGCAGCTTGAGAAGAAGTTGCCTGGTCGGCCTTCCTCAACCTTTTCCGTTTATTTTTCTTCTGCTGCTGGGCAGGAGGAGAGACCTGTGGCTGATCATCCACACCGACGGATAATAGCCTACTATCATCCATGACTGGTTGTTCGGGATTGGCTTCTTCAGGCTCTGAAGATTCGTCTTGATTGGGAGCTGAAAACAAACAAAGGAAAAAGTTAGTACCAAACGGTTCACACGTGGATGAACAAAATGTTTTCTCACACGAGAAGGACCGCCCAGGCCATGACACTTGGTTTTAAGTCAAGTAAGTCCAGGAATACGGGCAGTACCTATCACGGCCTTGATGAGCCGTGCAGGAGTTAAGTAGGTCATGATCTTGTAAGAACCACCATGCTCCACGGCGATGATGTCTTTGCTAAGGTCCTCGGAAATGAATGGCTCGGAAGATTTCGGAGGGAAGGCGTTCCATTTCCTCGGGATTAACCCGTTCGGGACAGAGACGAAGAAGAACCGGTCTTTCCAGCCCTTGATCGAGGAAGGAGCATCACAGAACAAGATATGCCCCGTTCGGGCACTCACCACTAGAAACCCATTGGCCGTTGGAAGTAATCTTGTTATTAGTGCTAGATTATTAGATTAGTTATTTGCATGGGTTGGTCAATTAGGTAATTGCATACATGTTTAATTAAATTGTGGAGTTAAGCATTGCATGGTCATGCATGTTTTTCATACGTAGATTTTTTGTTATGAGTTTGCATTGTTGTAAATTTTGCATTTACGTAGAAGTAGTTATCATTGGATGCATATTCAAGTAGTGGGTTAGTGCCTTAGTGGGTTCAAAGTAGTGTGTGTGTGTAATGCATTGTAAATACGGTTATCACTTTGTCTATAAATTGAGAAAAATGGGTGTGTAAAAGCTAGTTGGCTTTTCACCACCACCAAAAAGATTCGTTCCTTTGTTTCTTAAGTACGTACTCATGCTTTGAGTACGTATCCTCAATGCATTCCCTTTAAATATTAGTTAGTTCTTTTTCTTCGTGAGCAAAGTAAATCCAACATTTGGTATCAGAGCCTCGTTAGTTGAGGTCCAAATCTCCGTCGTTGTCAAGCGGCGCCACGACGACGGAGAAAGGTAGGTTGTCCGGTAAGTTGCGCCACCGGCAGCAAGGAGGTGACGGCCAAGGTGCGGAGACCATTGTCGGGAAGAGATCGTCGTCCATGTGTGAGTCGTCGACAAGATGCGGCATCGACAACAACATGAAGGTGAGTCACCAGCAAGTTGCGTCACCGGTGGCGACCATGAAAGCGAGTCATCGCCGAGTTGCGTCACCGGTGACAAACATGGAGGCGAGTTACTAGCGAGTTGCGTCACGGGTGGTAAACATGAAGGCGAGTCATCGGCGAGTTGCGGCACCGATGGCCGACATGGAGGCGAGTCACTGGCGAGTTGCGGCACCGGTGGTGAACATGCGGCAGCGAGCGTGTCATGACAGCGCGCTCGCGGTGAAAGCGTAGGAGGTGTGTCTTTTGTCGAGGCCAACGGCAAAATCGATAAATCGGCACGGGAAGATGGCAATGGCGGCCGTCTACATGTTGCACCGACGAGATCGACGACAACGGGCTTCAAGACAGAAATAAGTAATAACAAGATTAGGGAGGTGATTGTTGGAAGTAATCTTGTTATTAGTGCTAGATTATTAGATTAGTTATTTGCATGGGTTGGTCAATTAGGTAATTGCATACATGTTTAATTAAATTGTGGAGTTAAGCATTGCATGGTCATGCATGTTTTTCATACGTAGATTTTTTGTTATGAGTTTGCATTGTTGTAAATTTTGCATTTACGTAGAAGTAGTTATCATTGGATGCATATTCAAGTAGTGGGTTAGTGCCTTAGTGGGTTCAAAGTAGTGTGTGTGTGTAATGCATTGTAAATACGGTTATCACTTTGTCTATAAATTGAGAAAAATGGGTGTGTAAAAGCTACTTGGCTTTTCACCACCACCAAAAAGATTCGTTCCTTTGTTTCTTAAGTACGTACTCATGCTTTGAGTACGTATCCTCAATGCATTCCCTTTAAATATTAGTTAGTTCTTTTTCTTCGTGAGCAAAGCAAATCCAACATTGGCATGTTGAGGGATGACCGAGAAAAAATAATGGAAAAACTCCAAAGTAGGCGTCACCTCGGCATCCACACAGCGACAGATAAAGCCGGCCACTGCTCGATAAGAGTTCGGCATAATTTGGGCTGGGACTACTTGGTAAAAATTCAATAAGGAGATAAAGAAGGGGTGGAGTGGGAACCTAAGACCGGCCTTAACCGAATCAAAATGGACCACGACCATCCCAGGAAGGTGACACATTGGGTGGAGCCCCGCCTGGAGACGGAAGTCCACCGAATCAGGGATTAGCATTTGGATTTGGGTCCTGTTCTGGGCCGTACGTTTTTGCCGCCTAAACCTAATAAGGGCTAGGTCAAGTTTATGACATGGAACGCCGCTTGGAGGACCGACTTCCATAGCTTCCAGTTCATCCCCAGACTTGGTGCCGTCGGAATAGGTCCGGGAAGAAGAGGCGTCGTCATTAGGGACATCCGCGGGAATGGGTGTGCTTTCCTAGGCGACATCGGGATTTCCCTCGGGAAGAGCAGCATTAGAAGCGGAGGGTTCGGAGGAACGAAGACGGGACGCCATGATTACCGAACGAGGGAATAAGAGGAAGAAAGCAAAAGCCAAAAAGTACCTGAACAAAGAACAATTGAAAGACGCTAGAGAGAAGGCAGAGCAATAGGCCGGAGATGCAAGGTTTCGAAACCCAGAATCAGAGCCGGAAAAGCCTATTTATACTTTGTCACACCTAATCATCGGCCAATCGCAGAGATACACGTCACCAGTAATGATGACTGGGACACGTGTCACGCGGAGAACCTTCCCCAAGTAATCATGACGGTTATCGGGGAAATAAAACGGCAGCCGCAGAAAACTGTCAAAATATGCCTCGGGAACTGGAGGAATACCATCCGATACGTACCCGAACAGCATTCGGGCAATAATTTTCTAATTCCCTATGCACTAACTACCGTTCGAGACATAGGAAGTGGGGGACTAGTGTTGGGATATTAGGTTCAGGCCCAATATCCCCGCCCCAAAGTATGAGGAAACCAGGAGGAAGCATAAAAACCAAAGCAGTCCAGACGCGTTCGGCATTCGGCACAATTCATATACTTGGAGCATTTCAAAAAACAGTTACACCCAAACACCCATGACGGGGTCCCACCAACCGAACGCCCTACCCGAACGGGTAGTCAGCAAGTGGAGGTTGCATTTAATGCTAGAGCATGACAGCATCAAGTGGAGGCATGGGTGCATACGTGGCAGGGGCCACAGCCTACCGGATTCAGCCACGTGTCCAGCTTTCCCATCCCCATTTTAGTATAAATACCTGCATTTAGAGCATTGTAAAGGGTTAGCATTTTAAGACTCAGAGCTTAGCAAGTAGAAACACTTCTCTTATTCTTGTATATATTCTTGTACTTACCTACCGTTCGGGTAGTTCAGTGTAATCGCAGCATTACTGAATACGAGTTAGCTCCTGAGTTGAACAATCTTTCACTGTTTTATATTTTATACACTTTCCAAACCAACCAGGGGCGGATCTACATGTTAATGAGGGTAAGCATAGGCTTCGCCTCAACAATTCTCCTTAGCCTAGGTGGTAGTAGTACTGCTATTTTAATTATCTTTAGGCTTCACGTCAGGTGTTCGAACCCCAGCCAGGCTACACCCTTTTTCCTTAACTTTTGAAGTGCTTCACATCGTGAGTTCGCCCAGGTTTTAAAGGATGCAATTTTACTCCTATGTGTTGTTTTGTATTTAAAGATCCTAGCCCAGGTTTTAAAGGATGCAATTTTACTCCTACGTGTTGTTTTGTATTTAAAGATCCTAGTTATTATTAGAAATAATTAATGTCAAATTTGAAAAATATTGTCGTGTTTAAAGTATTGTACTTCCAAAGCATGTGAGTAATTACTTTGTTTAGGGAATAAAAATGTAACAGTCTTATTTTTTTAATATACAAACTTTTTACCCTTATTTTTTTAAAGTATTGCTATTGTTGTTGTTAATATAAATGTAGTTGTAAATAGTACTAGTATTATTTAATATTTCAATTTGTTACTGTGTAAACCGCCCAGTGTAATTTTACTGATTTCTCCCCCTTAAAATGATTTGCAAAATAAGTTTTTTTTATTATCAATACAATTTCATTTTATATACTAATTTAACTTATAAATTTTTTACTATATTTCTATTTGAGCTCTACGACTAGTGCTGGACTCGGGCCGGGCGGCCCGGCCCGGCCCGGTTACTGTTTGGCCCGGCCCGGCCCGGGGCCCGGTGGGTCCCTCGGTTCGGTTCGGCCCGGCCCGGCTGCTGGGCGGTTCGGGCCCGGGCCCAGGTTTTGGTGAACCGGCCCGGCCGGTTCGGGCCCGGTCCGGGCCGGATTTTAATTTTTTTTTTTTTTTGAAATTTTTTAAGTTTTAGGTTGGATTAGGTATTTTGGGCCATTTGAGGTGGTTTGGGATGGTTTGGGGTTGAGGGGGAGGGGTAGGGGATTAAATAGGAGAACAAAAAAAATTATTGGGCCGGTTCGGCCCGGCCCGGCCCGGCCCGGTTTGGCCCGGAACCGGAACCGGAACCGGCCACCGGCGGTTCGGGCTCGGGCCTCCCTTTCCTGGCCCGAGGCCCGGCCGGGCCCAGGCCCGAACCGGGCCCGAACCGGCCCGAGTCCAGGCATATCTACGACTTTAAAGAACTTTCAATGTATTTCCCAAATATGTAAATTTTATTTATAAAAATTTAGCTATCCGCTGTAAATCGGTATTTTGTAAATCGGTTCTATTTAATAAATCTGATAAATGTTTCCCGACATTATTTACCACACTAATATGATGTTTTTTTTCGGGCCAAAGAAAATATGTGCATACACGGATCCCTGAAGCCTAGGTCCGCTACTGAAACCAACCCAACATCCTTACAATATTCAAAGCTTGTGTTGGACTTTCGAATCTTCGGGAATAACCCTCAACAGTCGGGATGAAAGTTCTGAATTTCCACAAAAGCTAGAGACCTACAATTTTGAAAAGGTTTGAGTTGGGATTATATTGTCAAAATCCGAATTGTAATTGAACTAGCAGTGTAAATTTAACTCAGCCAAGGGATGTCAATTTTCCAATTGATGACCAAACACCAACATCCAACGTACCCTTAATCCCAAAAGGGATGTCAATTGACCAAAAAAGAAAAATAACTTGCTCTTTTTTATTCTTCAGACTTCAAAAAAAGAGTGGTGCAGAACGGAGGTCGATTAATAGGGTATTAATATTAGGGCGATTTGATTTGATGTAGGAGGTCGATCGAAGAAGCATAACTAGATCTAATAAAGGCTCTGTCATGTGCAGAACTTGTAATCGATGATTGAGTGGTGCTTGTTCGGTGCTTGTAGCTAATTTGTGCCACCTTTGATGGTTGCTCTTGCTTTCAGCATCGATCGATCACTTAAGTGATCCTGTAATGATAAGGATAGTTTAGGGATTTGTGTTATTTTGGGGCTGTGAATAGAACTTCCAGACTAGAAAATTACAGTCTAAGTAAAATCATCCTAAATAAAATGGAAAAAAATTCAAAGTAAAAACATCATATCATAGACACGGTCAACCACAACTGGCTAATTGGCATATATAAACAAAAGAAGAAATAACTTCATCATCACTGTTAAAAGCTAAAAAAAGTAATTTTTCTCTACGACTTGGTGTACACAATTTGTCTTCGATCTTCAGACGATTAGAGTGCGCTTTGGAGAATCATCTCAGCAAGTTCCTGCAAAGTAGGTTTGTTCATTCGTTCATTCGTGTAATAATATACTCCCATGTCCCTTAAAACTTAGTCAAGTTTGACGGACGCGGTCATTAATAAAGTAAAACTATGTTATTGAAATTTGTGTAGACGAGAGAGTTAACTAGAAACACAAATTCTTTAGCGAGGTGACAAAGTTAGTGGGATAATCAAAAAGGGAAAATTGACAAAGTTTTAGGGACAGATGAAGTAAATAAATAAGATCACCCTCACCCAATTAGGTTGTCATTCCTAATCAAGTGTCGATAAGAAAACCCGATACACGTTATTATCATCTTTACCTGTTTAGCAGAAACAACTTTGGGTTCACCCCATTCAAAAGCTTTCTTCTCCAGCATTTCAAAATCAGCCTTTCCAGCCTATAAAAATCAAAGCCCAACACAAAAATGCAATTTGCATTACAGGGCAGAAGATAACAAATTTCTTTTTGAAATCCCATAACTATTTGGTCATTCCAAACTTTGGTCCCCAACTAAGGGGATTTCTTTCCACCTGTGGTCCTTTCAGGTCACTTGTATGTAAATTGACCACATGAGTGGGATAATAAAAGTAGAAAACTTGGATACAAGGATTAAGGCTATATAAGAGTACCTCAATGGCTTGGCCAACCTCGGTATCAAAACTCTGGTATCTCTTGCGAACAAGTTCATTCAGAGAACCATCCTGTTAATACAATTTGGAGCCTTTTAATGATAATAATAATAATTTGATAAAGCACATTCAGTCCTGTATTGATATCATCTAAGTACTAAAAGAGAAAGCAAAGGGGGCATAAGGGCTGCCACATGATGATCTTACCTGAATCAGCTTTGCAGCACTTCGGAGGCCACGAGCCAGGGTATCCATACCCGCAATATGAGCAATGAATAAATCTTCTACATCCGTGCTCTCCCTTCGCCTATCACACATACAAACCCACAGCAAAAAAACATCTGATGCTCTTCATTCACACACACACATATATATATAGTAAAGCTGTGACTTTAGAAGAAAGAATAACATAGGAAAACTAGTACAACATTCATTATAAAAGGAAATAGTGGAACTAACAACTTAGCATCGAAGTTGAATCCTCCTGGTGCTATGCCCCCCTGAGGTTTGTGCAAAATAAATAAATAAATAAATAAAAGGCAACAGGAAACACATGATGCATTACAAATTTCAGATATCATACATTCTTGATAACTGAGAGCATAATTAGGGTTGCTTCTGGCACATCCATCAGAAACTGGTCGGTGTCCCAACCTGCAATGCAAATGCCGTAAAAAGTTACTAAGGAAGCAAGGAGGAGTGGCAAAAATATCAGAGGGGAGCATATAGAGAGTGTGTTGGTTTGGTCCTCAAGTACCAGTTTGTGGATCACCACTGTTTGCATCAATATTTCCAAGCAACCCATTAATTCTTGCTGTCTCAACTTCATGATGACAACTGATAGGCACATACCACAACAACAACAAGAACAAAATATGACTGGTGATCAAAAGGCGGAGGAGGATCAAGAAGCTTGTAAAAATCAGTGCACACAATTAAGTAAAGATAGCAGGCACAAACATACCTGTGTCCAGACAAAGTGGCGTGGTTGCATTCAATATTCAATTTGAACTCATCTGAACCCATCCCACCCAAAGAACAACATTAAATAACAAATTGTGTAATTCATCCCATCTATCAGTCTGATAGAGAGTATTAAGCATGGGCTCAAGTGAGTGCTGGTGCAGATGAAAGCCATTTTCTAGATCACGGTCTTTTCATAAATGCCACCGCATTTATGAGGTACCTTATAAGCTTCTATCTTGAAAGAAAAACAAGAGTTGACAACAACAACAACAGCAACATCCAAGCCTTAATCCCAAAATATTTTGGGGTCGGGCAACATGAATCGATTCATGATATCAATGTCAAAAGGAGAAGACAAACAAGAAAAAAAGTAAGATAAAACGGACAAGGTAAAGATAAATAAATATAAGATAACAATAACATAAGAACATAAGAAAGATAAAAGATAAAAAGATAAAAGAGCATAAAAAAACTAGAAGATAAAAAATAACATAAGAACATAAAAAGATAAAGAAGATAAACAATAAAAGAAAAAGAGAGTGGAAAGATAGAAAAAAGATCAATCGTTCATACGAATGTGCGCCCGACGTTCAATATCTTTATCGTTTATCTATTTAAATGACAAGATAGGTAGGAAGGTAGGTAGATGGGTAGATCAGGTACCTATAAGGCCATATTTCCGTAAGAAATTAGCAGCAGTAGCAGCATCCCAGTCATACCTGTGAGGATCACCATATATTTATAACTTAGGAAAGATACCCACTCAGAACTCACACATTTAGGAATCTTAGATCCACACATACTGATGTTTTGTAGGTTCCTGAGGCTTAGGCTCAATGAGCAATGTTCCTGCAACAGAAATTACAAAAAAGGTAAGAGTAATGAAGCCCAATTCATGAAACCTACCTATTATTGTTGTTATTATTATTACTACTATTTTTATTATAATTATTACAATGAGCAGAGATTTAAGGGAGCGAAAATACCATTAAATCCAATCTTTTTCTTATAAGAAACTGCTGCTTCCATGAACATAGCCTGTCAAAAGGGAGCGGAAATACCATTAAATCAAATCTTTTTCTTATAAGAAACTGATGCTTCCATGAACTTAGCCTTCCACAAAGTCTCACAACAGATGGAATAAATAATTCATAAAACCATTAATTAATGCTCAATTAATAAAACAGGGGAAAGTTCCCTAAATATGAGACAAGACAATGTAAAATTTCAAAATAGGAGTACAATATCCCCCACCTAAATAGGAGTACGTTACTGACCACAAATTTTCTATAATATTTTGGAATTACAAGGCTTTAAAATGTTAAATATGGCATGCCATAATTGACAATATTTTCAATGCATGGCAATAATTACTCCTATTTAGGAAATACAACATAATTAGGGAGATTTATGAAAAACCATTCATAAAAGGAGTCTATGTTTGACAAAGGTAAATCTTTTTATAAGTGATAAATCATAGGGTCAGCCCAGTACACATTTGCAACCCCGCAAGGAAAGGTTCTGTGCAAGGGTCTCACACAAGAGTGTATAAGGAGCAAGTCTTCCCTTGTCATTTTTACAAGAGTTCGCTTTCAAAACTTGAACCTGTGACTTCTCCATCACACAGATTAATCGGTGCGCCAGGGCTCCCCTTCAAGTAATATTAAACTTTACAATTTTATAGTTTGACTAAATTTATCATATTATACTAGTTTCCTACTCCATTTTGGAATATTAAATGAAAAGTTATCCTCATTTGGGCCCTTTATCGGGAAAATAAAAATTCTGGAGCAACTCTTATGAAAAAAAAGTACTTCTCAAAGGTGGCGCTTTATATTTTTATGGGACAGATAAAGGGAATATTTGTATGCAACTTCCAAATTTAATTGCTTGGCCTACCAAGTGATTTAGCTCTCTTTGCATATCTGTGTTCAAAAGACTCTGATAACCCTCTCGACCACCCCAGAATACATAGTTCTCACCACCAAGATAATGTGTAACCTGAAATTCACATAAAGAGTAAATCTTACATAATCATACATAACATCTTGATTAATTACATTATATATTAAATACAGGAGACGGGGAGTGGCAGTAAAACCTCCATAGCTTTCTTGACTTGGGCTGCAGCATATGCATACACTCCTAATTCAGAACTGCACATTTACAAACCAGAAACATTGAGACTGAAATTCTTAAAATAATACACGACAGTCAGATTATAAGTTCAAACAAGGCATAACAAACCTAGTTGCAGCACCATGCATATATCGTGGATGCACAAACAACTGAGCAGTACCCCACAAAGGTCGGATCTTTGAACCCTGTGAAGTTTCGAGTAACTTGAGTTATACTAGAGGAAATGATGTAATAGGAGAGAATATGCATATACTTGTGCATAACTTAATGAATAAAATAGAATAAAACAGCAAGAATAATCAAAAGTATGAATCTGCTATGTATTATTCTCCAACAGCTTCTTTCCATGAATGATATGGCATGGTGAATATTTTGTCGTCATCATCATCATTCATCATCTTCATTACCCCAGTGCCGCAAAGGCTCCCACCTACGGTGGGTTAGGGGGGGGGGTCGGATGTACGCAGTCTTACCCCTGTACTAAAGGGGGGAGAGACTGTTTCCAAATGACCCATAGTGAAAATCGCGTCGAAAATTGCATAGACTGACTGTTACTTCATAACAAAGAAGCGCAGACAGTTTAGTAAGTCATTTTGCTTTATTCCATCATATTCCCAAGGCAAAAAATAGTGAATCTTTGGCTCCATTGAAAACGATGGAAATTTGGTGAATATTTTGTCACATATCATAAATAGTAAATTTACATGTTTTTGGCTTACTTGAAAAGCGACGCCTTTGGAGGACATTGGAGTAAAATAATAAATAAATATTTGTTATTGGTTAAGTTTTATTGTAATAAAAAAATTGTTTGGTTTTCAAATATAAAGCATGTTTGGTTAGTTTAGTATATATATGTATGGTGTTTATGCTTTGTTAAACATGTTATGTTATTAAAACATAAAACATCCCAGTATTGAATAAATAGTGTCGAGATCAGAAACATGTTTTCAAACAATGGAAGCATGAAGTTCCTAATTTCAATAAAGTTTCGAAGTTTCATTATTTTTTCGACATTGAAAATTATAAAAAAAGAACTGTTTCCAGTGAAATTTTAAGTGATCTTTTGAGTGATTGTCAAAAACTACCTGAAGTTCTTTAGCAAGGGCAACCACTTCATCCAAATTTGCATTTGACTCCTGTGAATTATAATGTTATATTGTCAGTCATGTAATATTAATTATAAAATCAAACAAGTTATAGCAACATCCTAACAAAGAACTATTATAAATGACAACTAGGACAATACTTGCAGCGCTCACCTCAAGTGTTTCACCATCTGGAGCAATGTCTCTATCATGAAAGCACCACTTATCCACTCCAATCTTTTCTAGGAACTCAAAGTTAGCTCTCACTGGATGTAGTCAACCATTTAAATAGAGACAACTAGTTAATTTATCACTATCAACGGAAAGATAATCCAACATTTCATTTAATTACAGTAAAATATATTTTCTTATGAAAACATTTTCTGGACTTTCTTGGGGAACAATTCCATGTGATTGGCAGCTGAAAACATGTTCTTGATTCATTGAACACTTGTTGGAAATGACATATTGTTTAGCCATTTTCGTGAAACAGTTTTGCTTCTATTGGTGTAGGTTACACATCATTTGTACTACACATAAAGCAACTTATTTTTCGACAAAAAATTTTGAAACCGACAAACAAACAAGTTATTTTCCTCAACCAAATAGAGCCTTGGTTAAATGCCATTGCTTAATTCTTACTCCTCCTCTTTGCCATGGCAAGGGAATTAGTGCCATCTTCCCATGGCCAAAATTTTGTAGCCGAGCCAAACTGATCACCACCAGTTCCACGGAAAGTGTGCCAAAAGGCGATACTAAATCTAAACCAATCCTACGTAAACAAAACAAAGCAAAACAAAAATAAATAATTCAAGATATGACTTCAAACACCTAAAATAACACACAAAAAGTGATCATAGTTGACAGACCATCATCTTTTTCCCCAGAATCTCCTCATTAGCATTGTACCATTTAAACGACAGGGGGTTCTTGCTAGAAGGACCCTATAAAAATAAATACATATGCACAAAGCAGCCATGAATCACCAACTGATATTGCAAGCCCGCAGTACGTACAACAATATTTGATGCAAATTCTGGCATTGTATAACTTTCCTTTCAATTAATTTCCAAGAAAAGTGATCGCAGGGAAAGTGTAGGGATCCTTTTTGAACATGGATAATGGTAGGCAAGGGGGAGTAAGGAAGATGGTTTTTTTGTTTGATTTTGCCATGAAAGATACAAATAAGAATTGGATACAATCAAAACCTTTATTTTTTTAATTATAGACTTCTGAGTTTTTATCAAGGATGTTAAAATAATGTTTATGAAATGAAAAGTGATCATCAGGTCGAAACTAGAAACATAAATCATAAGATTTTACAAAATAATATATTGCTCTGTAATAGTTATTATAAATTGAAAATCAAAACAATTATTATCAATAAAAACTCAACTCACAGCTTAAAATTAAATAGATATGTTCATAAAAATTACATACAATTTTCAAAGTGTAGGTTACTCAAGCAATAACATTAAGGGAAAATTCCTAAAATAGGAGTAAAAACGTTTTGGAATTACAAAATAGGAGTAATTATTCTCCATATTTAAAACACCGCCATATTTAAAGCATGGGAATGCCAAAACATGACAATAATTAACATATTTAGGGAATAAAACATAAGTCATATTTTGGATTTTGAAAACGTTTTTACTCTTATTTAGGGCAACATATTTAACATCATTAAACATACATAAACAAAAAATTCATACAAAAAAGTACTCATCACTTTCAGTAAATATACTGTTTTTATTCATATTGAATACTTCATATATCTAAATCTCATAGGTAATAAGAATAAGAATGATTTTAACTGAAAAGCATCAATACAAGTTTTCTATAGTTTTACTGCAATTCTTAACGATTGAAGTCCAACTATCAGTGTAGAACCATAAGATAATAATTATCTTCAACTACAACGAGTCTTGGCAAATACATAAAATAGATTTTATTGATGTGTACCAATTTTTTATTGATTCCCTCATCATATTTCATTTCCTAGCATTTTCCATGTTCCAAACTCCCTGGGGATATCAGGAAATATGAAAAAGCATTCTAGGGTTTAAAGGTATCACCAAACATGGGAATCACTTTCCCATGGACCTGTTAAATTCCAGTAAAGTTCAAAGTTCAAACTCTTATGACTAACAAAGACTGAAAGTTTTAAAGACCGGGTAAACGGCTAAATTTGTTCTATAGTGATACAAGCGAGTAGGCAAGGTAATAAATTTATTTCACCTCATATTTGATCTTGGGAATCCCAGGGAAGAATTCACCTTCCCATTCACCTGATGCATTCGCACAATCAGTGTGAAGATGTGCAGGGCACGTAGGCGGGCCTGCAGCAGTCTGCATAAAAGATAAACTAGCTGAAATGGCCACGGGCATGATCAATGGAAGGACTCCAAATGGAATGAAAGGAAAAAGCAAAGGGTCTTTACCCCTATATATAAGATCGCATTCAATAGTAGGAGAACCAACAACTTCCCAGCCACAGTCATCACGTAGGTCTGTGTGATCACTGTACAAATTAACGCATACCATAAACCAATAGCAAAAAATCGATTTATCTTTAATCAATATCAACCATTAAATCAAACGGGCAGAGGTTTTTGTACTCCGTAATGCATATGAGCCCATTTCCAGTATAAATTCTACCTCAAGTATGATCTGTTAGCTTTTAATCAAGGTAACTTAAAAAAAATAGATATGCAAGATAATCACGAATGGGTTTATCCGCTACACCACATCTGTACCTTAAAAGAACAGCAGTAGTGTAAAATAAACATAGAGACCAATAAACAGAAGAAGACATTAATCTGTGTGTGTATGACAGAGAGCTAGAGAGAGAGAGGCTTACGGATAAGGATTGAAGAAACAACAGAATTTGATGCAAACTCTGGTTCTAGAGGTTGTTCATTATATATAGGAGAAGGTCCAGAAAACAGTGGCAAAACGCTTTAAGATTTGTGTTGAGCGCGAGAAAATTTTGGATATAATTTTAATTCTTGAGATCCAGGTGACTCCAATTTGACGTGGCACATTATCTGTACCAAATTATATTCAAAATTCTATCTACTTACTTAATACTACCTCCATCTCTCTAATATTGGAACGAAAGCGAATAATGTGATTTTTAAGAAAAGAATAATTATACAGTTGATAATGAGTTAATGAATTGGGAATAAAACAAAAATGAATTGGAACTGTCGTCAAATATCATATGAGACAATAATAATGGGATATCCAAAAATGAGAAAATGGGACAATTATAGGGGCGGATGAGTAATAACTAAATGAAGTAGCGTACAATGCACGGTATATCCATAATATAATTAAGTATCATATTATTTAAAATTATATTTTGTTGAAATAGTACATAATATGTAATTTTGCTAAATAAAAAAGACATTAGCTTATATGTATATACATACATACATGCATGCATGCATGCATGCATACATACATACATACATACATACATACATATATATATTAAATTTGATTATATAATAGAACTTGTAATGAAATGAAAATTTGGACTATATGAATAATTGCAAGTAAAGTTAGATTTGATGATAAAGTGTAACAATAAGCTCTAGTAAGTAATAAATAATTTGATAATATAAATAAATTTTGTGATAAATATGGATCAACGTATATATTGTCTCTAACAAAAGTAAATGAAGATAAAAAATTACAAATTATTACATACTTCGTTGTGAACCACATTTAAAGTCTTCTTGGTCGATTTTCCGTCATCATCAAATATAACAAACTTCAACCCAGACGGGGACATTACTCTTGAAACCACGACGTAAATAGGTGAAAACCGGACAACGTAAGAAAACACCAACCCCCTCCAAAGACTGACCCTCTAATCAATGGTCGTCGCGCAACTAATAAGCATCAAAGGGAACTGTCTATGCTAAAATGTGAATGACAGCTTTAGGTCGGATGGAGTCAAGATAAGCATCGAAATAAGAAATTTGTGTCCTACATTTGCTCCAGACATCATCTGAGCCTCTAGAATATGGATTCCAAGTTTAGTGACGATAAGGCGAGTTCCACTACACAATCTGGAGGAATGATCAAGTGCACCGACTTTCAGCTTCAGCTCATGACTTGGCACACCAGAGCATTTAATGGTATTGAGAAATTCTAGAGAGTGGATCTCTTGAAGTGGTACACTGTATGATTCAGAAGAAGATGATGGATCTGAGCTTAAGTACGTCTTTACCTCACATGGAGTTAGTCCCAACATGTAATCGTTGAACATGTCGCGTTCATCAATGGTTGGCACAAGAATTGTCATGGAATTCAAATAAGAAACACCATTACGGTGTACTTCAAAATGGGACAGGTGATTTTAACAATAGCTTCAATTGGATCATCCGTCATGGGAGCAATAAATTCTTCAGGGATGTCAATCATTGATTCTCCATCATCACCATCCCTCAGGACCCCATCTTCGATTTTTTAAATCCACATATGTCAACTTTATGGTCTTGGGGTATACTTGATTTGCTCTCATTCATGCAGTAAATTTCGTCTCGTTAATCATACAATTTGATAGGACGTCTTGGATAGATTTATCTGCCCTATAATAAACACTTTGCTCGCCAGACAAATGAACACTATGATGTTGTCCCATTATTTTCTTTTTTCGTTTCATTATTCATTTTCTCACTCCTCTCAACTCACCTTCTACATTTAACCCCCTTCATCCCTTCTCCCACTCTTAATACTCATTTTAAACTCTGACTACCCGCAATTATGAGTCCAAAAACTCTACATTTAGCCTTTTGAACTGCTAATACCTCACAAGTACAAATTGTCTAAAAGTGGGAAAGAAGGTGGAGAGGGTTAAAATTTAAATATAGAAGGTGAGTTGAGAGGAGTGGGAAAAGAAAGGGACGACTGCAAGTTATTTTTTTTTGTGCGAATGACGTCACGCTTGCATCATAATATCCCATTTTTAAAATATTTATATAACTTTTTTATTTGTTCTCCAATTTTTTCAAAATAACATATCGAAATTTATAAATTTGTACTCCGTATGATCTTTCAAATGATACCAATGTTACATACAAAATCGTATTTTTTACGGTTATTAAAGTTTTCTTGGGCCCAAAAAAATCCAAAACACAAATTTTAAGTCCACGAAGCCTCCAAAAGTAATCAAATAATACATGAAATCATTTGTTAACTAAAAAACTTAAAAAAAACTAATGATTTTTTTTATCAGAATGTGTGTTCTTATTTCAAAATTATTTATGGAAAAATTTAAGAGAAAAATATTACTTATAATAATTTAATTAATGTTTTACTAAATTGATATGTAAAAAGATACGCAGAGTGTACTTTATTGACGGTGCTGCCGTGCTGAAATACAGGAAAAAACAATATTGACGGAGACTAAACACTTTTTTTTTTACCCCAGAAGGTCAACCACCAAAATCAGTGAGGTAAATGACAGGGATCATTTACCAGATTTTATTAAGCAATCAAAAATTACAACAAGATCGGGGGACCAAACCAAACCCGAAAATAAACCAACATCAAATAAAATTAAAATCTAATAGAAGGAATACCAAAGTAATCCATCCAAAAGGCTCTTTTTGCAAAAATAGGCATCTGGGCCATCTCAGTGTAGATCAGAAGCATATCCGTTCAGGTATGGGCAGCCCAATTACCCTCCCTTCTGATACGTCCGATTTCAGTCTGTTGCCTAAAACCCATGAGTAGGTTTCCTGAATATCAACAGCCCATCGACCCTCTTTCCTTCCATTGAGATACTCCATCGCCAACCTGGAGTCAGTCTCTACCTGAAAATCACCATAGCCTTCTTCCGTCGCCCACCTGATAGCGGAAACAATGGCCTTGAGCTCAGCATCCAGAGGAGAAGTAGCCGGAAACTCACCTTTCCAGTTTCGCATAATCGCCCCACCAACTACTTTGTCAGCTAAGTAACTAGCCTCTACGTTTAATTTCCATTTCTTAGCAGGTTTAGTCCATCGTATGATTTGAGGTTTGAAACCCCTGAGTTTGTAATTTTTAGGGACCAGTTCTTCAGAAAATAGCATGTCCCCAATAGTTCGAATTTTTGTGGAATTGATGCTTGAAACCCAATTTTGAGAATACAATTTCACTTGTATAATCAAATTGTTAGTATTAGGGACATTTCCCCCATTCCCCCAAATCTGCTCTGTATAAGATTTCCAAATTATCCATCAAATTATGCCATAAATTCCTGTCTTAACAACATCAACCATGCTCTTTTTTATCACACCTGATTTCCAATAGCATAATAGGCTGTAGTCCATCCCCAGGGATTGATAAATCCCAAATATGCTTAGAAAATACTGCCAAACTCCTTTCACAACTGAACAATTAAAGAACAGATGCCTCATATCCGTACTGCACTTACAAAGAGGGCATCTAGAAGGAAGTAATACTTTCTGAAACCTTACAAGATTATCAGTAGTAGGCAGAATTTTTTTTAATCATTTTCCACTGAAACAACTTGATTTTGAGTTCCAACTTTGTATCCCAGATCTGCTGATAGATGTCTGTGCTAAAGGACAACTCTCTAACCTCCTCATAAGCTGATCTTAGAGTAAACTGTCCATCCTCCTCTTCAATCCAGATTAAGTTCCCTGACTGATCCATAGTACAAAGATCCATGCCCTGCTCATTAACAGAACAAATTCTCTTCCATATAGGTGACTCTGTAATTGTAGGAATCATACTTCCACCTGCATCATACCTTAACCTCATTATCTGCACCCAAAGAGAGTTTCCTGTCTTCCATTTCCACCATAGTTTCAAAGAAAATGCTTTCTCAATGTCAGATAATGATCTTATACCCAATCCCCCTTCCATAGTAGGATAGCAAAGATTATCCCACTTTATCCAATGATACTTTTGCTTATCAGTAGATGACCCCCAAAAGAAGGAGGCCATTTTACTATTAAGAACCTTAATCACTTTCTTAGGCAGCCTATCAACTGCCAAAATGTGTAAGGGGATAGAGTTTAAGACATATTTAATTAAGATGAGTCTCCCCCCTTGAGAAAGATTCTTTTGCTTCCATGGAGATAACTTCTTTTCAAATTGACTGATTATATTGCTACAATACTCAAACCTGTTTATTCCTCTGTGCAGGTTAACACCAAGGTACTTGATGGGAAGAGATGTTAGCTTCATTCCCAACAAGTCCATAATTTTTGTCTGCCTTGCTGGAGAGATTTTGCCACAAATGAATGAGCTCTTATCGAAGTTGATAGCTTGCCCAGATGCCTTCTGATATGAGGTAAGAAAGTCTTTAAACCTCAACAATGATCTGGCATCCCCATTCAGGAAAACTAATAAGTCATCTGCATAACCTAAATGAGAGACAGCTTTGCCCTTATTCCCCATCCAATAAGGTTTGATCTTATTATCATCCATAAGCCATTTCAGTCCTCTAGAAAAAACTTCTGAAGCTATAATAAAAAGAAAGGGGGAGAGAGGATCTCCTTGCTTAACCCCTCTAGTAGGTTTGAAAAAACCTTGAGGTGAGCCATTGATTAAAACAGATAGGTATGTAGCTTGTAAATTGTTCATAATAATTCTCACCAAGAGAGAAGAGAACCCAAATTTGAGTAATATATCCGAGAGAAACTGCCAGGAAACCCTATCAAAAGCTTTAGCCATATCTAACTTCACAATCAAGTTGCTTCCCCTGATTTTCTTATCAATGCAATGCACCATTTCCTGTGCCAATAAAATCTGATCAGCTGCATCTCTATTAGCCATGAACCCAGCTTGTTCTGGAGATATAATATTAGGAAGAATCACTTTAAGTCTAGTAGCTAGCACCTTAGTATAGATTTTATTAATGAAGTTAGACAAACAGATGGGTCTAAATTCATTAAAAGCTGAAGGATTATCATTTTTAGGAATAAGAACCAGTAAAGCACTAGCCATTCCTTTTGGAATGGAAACCCCCATAAAAAATTCCTGAACAGCCCTAACCACATCCATGTTCACAACGGCCCAACACTTTTTAAAAAACTTTCCATGAAAACCATCTGGACCAGGGGCACTGTTTTGACTCAGTCCC